AAATGTCTCTATGTTGAGTTGAAAGGTTTCAAAGTCAGGTGATTTTATTGTCGGGTTAAGAGTTGGTGCACCATATATGAAAATTTATATATGTGATCGACTATGTTTGTAAAATCATATAATGTAAGACACCCCAATGTATCACGTTAAATGAGAACAACTTTCTTCCGTGTAGGCAAAGCTTGCGTGTATATCGTTCCGCAGTTTTGAAATTCACTACGTTTGAAGAAGTGTCCCCAAATTTTTTTTTATAAACCAAAATCCATTTAATCGATTTTAATGCTAAATGCATATAATAACAATATATTCTGACGAATATCTCCCTAGAAAATAACATAATAGAAACAATTATAATACATACAGTACCAAAGAACATTGGATAGAGGTGTTGCATGATAATCGAAATGTTTAGTAATGTCTGCATTGTCGAAAGAAACAATACTCAAACAATACACACTTAAAAAACATACAATGTCATGTGCATTCATGGCTTAAAGAAAGTCAGAAAAAATCTAGTCCTCTACCAGAATCAAAATAGTGATACTGTACTTTTTAACCGAAATAAATTAATATTTCTTTGCTAGTTAAATACTGTATAAACATTTAATAGGTTCTATGCAGGGCACGTTGGCACCATGCCCAAGTGCCTAGCTTTTTTTATTAGGCACCAGTTTCTATGCCCGTGTCTATGCCTGTGCTCCAAATTTTTTGTTAAGCACGAGCATGAGAACCCTGGTCTCAATATATGCAATTACGGAGTTATTTTTTAAATATCACGTGCAAGAATTTCACTTATAATAAATTACTTGAATCAAAAAAAAAACTTGGACTCCGAAGTTTGATTTTCCTAGCAAAGTCCCGTTCTATTTTCTTTTTCAATTCAAAAAAAATTTTAACACGCATAACTTCTATGGTCTTTATTGAACCAAAGTCTCTTATTCATATATACTTACACATACATCATATGCACTGATTTTGTTTGATCCCCAAAATCCAGTACGATATGAAACGTTATGAATACTTTATACTAGCCAAACCCCATTGGTTTTGAGGTGAGGCCATTGTTTTGACGGGCTATCGAATAGTAAAATAGTTTTTTAGCGGTGCAAATAATTTTTCTTGGGGTTAATTATCATTCTATTGTCCAGTTTACATATCATAACGTCGAGACACAATAAAATATAAGGTTTGAAAAAAGGATCCAAAAAACCAAATCGGTTGATATGTACATATGTGTAATTGAGAATTTTGTTTTTTAAAATTCCATGATTAAAAATGCACATTTAATTCTGGGAAAAGGACAAATTATTTTTAATACTATTTCATTAACAATTTGTCAACAAATTCAGGACAAAAGTCACATTTTACGAGCAAAAAGGTGAAGATTTTCAAAGCTAGAAACTTTAGTTTACCAACCATTACATCTTCTTAGTTAGTTTTATCACGACTTGAAACCATCAGGAAAATAAATCTCATGTAAACCTACGTAGTGTTTAAAACTGACCAGCATTATGCGGAAATGTTAACAGAATTACCAAAATATCGACATAATGCTGGCCAATTCCGAATCCTGCGTAGGTTTATGTAAGATTTATTTTCCTGATGACAATGTTAATCAATCTGGTCGTGAACTGCTAGTTCTAATCCCAATTCGAATAAATTTTCGGCATGGATTTCTAATTATCAAGAATTAAAAAATTCCCAATTCCTCTCTCCCTTTGAGGATATAAATTTTTGAACAATTAAGAATTAAGTATAAGAATAAAGATAACAACAGAGAAGAGAGAGACGAAATGCCAAAGGAATTCAAAATAAAAGTTAATTAATAGCTTTACATGCTATGACATATGCGAATCTTTTTGAATAAGAGAATTTAAGGGACGCTTTGGCTAATCGGATTAGCATTAGTGGCAGAAACAGATTGAAGACTTGGTGAAATAAATATTGAGTTTAAGAAAGAGAAGGAATAAATTCATTGCAGTTAATAGGGAAACGGAAAAATTAAGAAAAATCTTTGAAGGACAAAAAAGAATTCATAATCAAATGAATCAAGCAAGTATTTTAATTTATTTATTTGTTAATGTAGAAGAATCTACATTGGTCGAGGATTATAATTTAATGAATTACCAGATTAAAAAATTATAATTTTTGGTTGACAATTGATTGACAAAAAAACAACTGGTTGAAAACTTGATGACAGTAGAATCCATCGAATAGATATGTTTTTTTAAACTTTAATTTAATTTTAGAATTTAAGAATATATCCTAATTTAGAGATAATTTCTATAATAAATGAATAATAAGAATCGATGTTCTATGATTAATTGGTTAATGATTAGTTTGGAATTTTAAATATTTCTTTCTTTCCTAACTTTCCCTTAATATAGATGAGATATGATGGTGAATAGACACTATGAGGAGAGAGGAAGGAAAACTATTACCATCACCAACAATAATAAAATTTGATTGATTGACGGATAGAAGAAAGACAAATGCAAGTTTAAAATCCAGGATTTTTCGATAATAATTATAGTGATTTCCAACAATGATTTCAGCATAAATGATTGGTTCTGTTTTTTTTTTTTTTGTCTTATTCATTATTAAATACCCGTTGTATTTTTTTTTTCGAATATTACGACAGATAATAATAACCGATTTAACTAACAAATTGTTTTTGTTTGTTTATAATTAATGTGATGAAAATCTCTTTTCAATGCTTAATTAGTAATCACAGCCTTAGTAAAAATTGGATGCACGCGACTTTAAAGCTAGATTGTGTTGGAAATTTGGATTATTTTTGAGTAGAAAAATTAGAAATTATTTTGTAGATTATTATTTATTGTTATTTATTTTTAACATTTTTAATAGTTATTAGGAAAAAGGAATTGTGTGTAACCATAAATAAACAATCCAATTCATTGATTTTCCATAAAAGATAATTAAAATAATTTTTATTTATTTTATTTTTTTTTTCCAAGCCACTTAAAAATAGAACAAACATATTTCAATAATTCGACAAATTCATTGGATGATAATTAGCCACTCGAAACAAAAAAATCTTTTTTTCGTGTGTCAAGCCTCGGCGACCGAATTCATGTGTAACTAAAAGAAATTAAATGTCAAGAATACTAAAGAAAAAATTTATAATAACATTATTTTTTAACTTTAACATTATGGAGAAAAAAATATATATAAATATAAATATAAAAATCCAACATCAAATTCACCCAAAAAATTTAAAATCTTCTTTTTAAGGATTAAAAAAATATTTATTTCTTCTTTTTTTGATCATAAAAATAAAAAATTTTAAATTTTTGATTTTTGATTTTATACGTTAATTTAGAAATAAAAAAAAATATATATATATAAAAAAAGAAAAAAAGATTTATTTTATATCCGTTTTTTCCACTTTCCACCCTCCTTACACGCCACAACACCAACATTCACACATTGCATTCCCTCTCTATCACACACTTCTCAATCAATCAACCAATCAAATCAATGAATTTAAATCACGTCTAATAAATTGTTTTCTTCCAAATTATATACTTTTCTATTTGCTACTCAAATATAAGAACACAACATTCTATATATTTTTAAATTATACACTATATTTATATACTCAATTCATTGTGAAAAATCAAATAAATATAAATACTTTACGAATAAACTTTTTTTCTTAAAAAAAAAATAAAAATAAACAAATCTAATCTTTCCTTTTTTTTTTTAAAAAAAAAAAGATTTTTACGAAATTTCTCGGTTTTTTTATTTTTTATTTTATTTTTCTTAACGTAAGTATTTCATTTCTAGTTTCTTTATATAAAATTTATATATAGTGATTTTTCAAAATAAGATTTTTCTCTTTTTCCCTCCTTCCCTCCTTCCCTCCCTCTTACCATTTCCAAAAAAAATGAAAAATAATCAACCGTACTAATCATTTTATTATTATTTTATTATTATTATTTATTTATTATTTATTTAGTGTCTCAGTTATGAGCTATTCTAATGTCGTATGGATTGACGATCCTTTTTTCATTAAGAGACAACGTGTACAAATTGCTTGTTCATTTTGTCGTCAAAGAAAAATACGTTGCGATGGCATAACACCTTGTGGAAATTGTCAGAAATATTCTACAAACTGTGTAAAAGTTAAACTTGAAAGACCATCTCGTGGAGCTAAAAAAAATTCTAATAATGCGAAGAATTGTAACGACAGTGACAATATTGACAAAGATATTAACGAAGATGAATTTATCACCACTGAAAACATTAACGCCACCGATAAAAATAACATTTTCTCAACAGCAACAAACGCTTTAAATTTATCTTTGATTTCTTCATCCTCTTTCAATTATCGTATCAATAAACGTCCTAATGATGATCACGATCAATTACCTCAAAGTTTGCCTCCTTTCCAACGATCTATTCAAAACAACAACAATGATGATGATCATGATGACAATGACGACGACGATAATCATCATCACAATATTAAATCGTCTCAATGCAAATGTAGATATAAAAAGATATATAATATAATATTATGATTATTGATTTGTTAATTTATTTATTAATTTATTTATTTATTTTGTCCTCCCCCCTCACAAGTATCTAATCCAATCAATATCATGATCACTGAACCAAAGATTCCTTTGCTTAACAAAAATCAATTCTTTATGCCAAATGACGAATTGTTTGAACATTTGTTGGATCTTTATTGGACAAACGTACATCCAAATGTGCCAGTACTAAATAAATCTTTATTTCTACAACAATTAAATGGTCCTAATGATCAAGCCTCTCCTCTGTTACTTAATGCTATGTTTGCTATATCTTCTGATTTTTCTGAGATCCCATCAGTTAGACTAGACTCTGAAACCAATGAAAGTAGTGGTTGGTTGTATTTTGATAGGGCAAGAAATATGTTGGATGATTTCTTGGATGCGCCGAGGATGTCAACAATAGCTGCACTTATACTCATGTCTATATTTCAACAACGTAACACGACTAGACGTTCAGTTACTCCAGCTGGTTATTTTCGTAGATGGATGTATATTGGAATTGCTATTAGAATGGCTTTAGAATTAGAATTGAATAAAGAATGTAATGATGATAATAATCAAATTGACAACTCCATTAAAGAACTAAGAAAAAGATTATGGTGGTCTTTATTTATGCTAGATGTATTAGTTTGTTGTGGAATTGGTAAAACTAGTTATATAGATGAATTAGATTGTACTATTTCAGATCCTAATGTTGATATGATTGATGAACCTGAACTAAGAAACAGCAGTGCTTTAATTGAGTTTATTCAACAAATAAAATTTACTAAATTATTGCATTTATTATTAAAATATAACTTTACCTCAAATAATAATAGTCATGATGATGATAATAATAATGGTAATAGTAGTAACAGTAATACTGATAATAGCATTAGCAGTAATGATAACATTGATAATAAATCATCAGATGATTACAATAGTATTAAAGATTTCGAAAATCAAATCAATTCATGGTTTTGGCATTTGCCAAAACAGTCAACAAATACTTTGGTGGAAAATTTTAATGATTATTCTACTACAATGTTACACTTAAATATGCTATATCATTCATTTATTATAATTTTACATAGAAGATATATCACGTCATCATTTGATTCATTTTTAAAATGTTCACATGCAGCAGCAAATATCATGCCTATTGGAGATTTAATCTTGTCCAGATTGTCTAAACCATTTAGAGGGTTTCTTAATTGTACTATCTGGTGTTTACTACAAGCAGGACTGATCCATGCAATCAATCAATATAGAGGAAATGGAGATACAAGTAGAGTAGCCAAGCAATATTATGATAGAATTGTTGATTTGTTTGAAAAAAATTCACAGTTTACAGCATCACAAGCTTTACAAGATCAAGCAAATGCATGTAGTAGTAAACATTCTCAATGTTTATCAATGATAGATATTTGGAATTTGGTTGATAACAATCATTGTAACAATATCAATAACAATAATAATGATTGTGATGATGATGATAACGATGATAATGACGATAATGACGACATCAATAATCATTTATCGACTGAAATATCTAGAAATTCAACGAATGATCATTCACAACTTTATATGTTATCAAATATAACGGGAACTAAGGTTATATCATTTAACATTTTTTATTATCATATTTAACATTTTATTAAATTAATCTTTTAAATTTAGACTCCATCCTTGAATTTTATTATTGATGATAACGAACAATTGGAAAATTCAATTCTTAATAATAATAATAATAATAATAATAATAATAATAATAATAATAATAATAATAATAATAATAATAATAATAACAACAACAACAACAACAATTATTACAAACAACTTCAAGCTTTACATTATGGTGGCAATTCGTCATCTAATAATAACACTGCTACTGCTACTACTACTTCTTCAGCAACTACGGGGAAAAGATCGACTAGAAGTTCTAGTAATGCTGATAATAACAGCAGTAATACAAATATTTTTGAGATAACTCATTTAACTACACATATCAGCACACCATATCCAAGTCCAACACATGGTGCAATATCTCCGATGATTAGCACGACACCACAAGTGTCACCAAATGTTGATTTAGGACAGTTCACAACCAGTAATAATGAGGCCACAACATCACCCGACGAATTATTTAATCCTTTCCCAGTACTTGGTAATGATGAAGATCATAATAATTGGTTTAATGGTTCAACATCCACTAATTCTAATAATAATTCACAAAATCATCCTGATAATCATCAAACTGGTTCATGGAATCATCATAATAATCAACAAAACTATTATAATAACAATAACGCCGACAACTACATCAGACCATCTTTAACACCTCCAACGCATCCAACAACACCAATTTCATCACCAATAAGAAAATTATCATTGGGAATGTCTTCTCCGTCATCCTCTACTACTAACATCGTCACTATTACAAATAATAATGGAATATTTTATAATGATGGATCCATTATACATCTTTCACCAACAACTTCTCCTTTTGATTCACCAAATCCAGGAGACAGTAATGATACGAACGCGTCACCTAACGTAGATAATAGAGTTTCAACATCATCGAGTAATACGAATAATTCTAATGATAACAATTACATTACATCATCATCGCCATCATCATCATCAAACAATCATCACGATTCTGAATCTTGTGGTTCAGGTTATATTTTTGGAAGTTTTAACGGTTTAGGGATTTGTTCAAATTAAAAAAATACATATATAATGTGTGTGTATTATTTTTGTATATTTCTTTTATTTTTTTTCATTTTTGTAAAATTCAAATATGTTTCTTAATTTTTTGGGGGGTTTTTCAGAGTATCCATTCATTCATTCTATTGGAATGAATCATTATTTATTATCGACATTACTATTTTCATTTACCATATATTTATTATTTTCATTTAAATCATTTAAATTAAAAAACACACACAAACATGACAACTGCAACATAAAAAGGAGAAGATTTATTATTAAAGCATCGATGACATCAGCGACGACGACAACGACGTTATAATCATCAAAGTTGATAATTATGATGAATCATTCATTTATTTTCCTCAACAATCAATTGTTTTGTTATATATATACTGTATGTTGTAGCACGTGTAAAAATTTATTTTTTTTGTAGATAAAAAAATTTTTATGTATATATGATATGGTTATTATTATGTATAGTGTTTTGTTGTTGATAAAAATATATATATATACTATTAATCCGTTCAAAAGAAATCTCCAACTTATTATTATGATTTTTATTTTTTAATTATAGAATTTTTACTAAGGATCTAAGTTGTTTTGGAAACAAATCGACATCATTTATTAACTTAATAAAGTAAAAAAGGTTTTTTGTTTGTCTTTTAGGATAATAATAAAAAGTTTTTATTTGTCGTAAATTAGAAGATCAGCAAGCAAAAAAATTCGCGATTTTTCATTTGATAATATTATTAAATGTCACTAATACTAATATGTAATAACAAACATCTTTTCGGTCATTGAAATAGTTCTTTTTCACGTATGAGGAAAGGATACGATAATAGTAACTCAACTTTTTGTTAGTTTAATCAAAAATACGTTAAAGATTAGAATATATGTTTTTTCTTCAAAATAATTATTATTTGACAAAAATTATTATCCAAAAAGCTCACAAATTTCATTTCATTTTTCTTCGATCTAAATCTCTCATTCATCAATCAATTAACCAATCACCTTTATTTATCGTTGTATCTTCACAATCTAGTTTTTTTGCCTCCTCTTTCTGTTTTAATTTAAAAAAAATTTTCACACCACTATTTTACTATCACGTGAATTTATTTTTTTGTTACAAGTCATTTAACAAAAATGCATTGTATTGGTGTAGATTATTAAATTCCCTAATTAAGTTACGATTAGTTAGTGTCTCTCTCATATATTATATAAAAAGAGTGAATAAATTTTTTCATCCCTTTGTTTTAAAAAATAATAATCTCTTTTTTTTAAATTAGAAAAAAAATATAATATTTTCAATATAAAAAGCGTTTTAGTTATCAGTTATTGAAAGTATGTCAGGCGAAGATTTAAATAGTATTAAAAGAAGAAGGGTTGCTAGAGCTTGCGATACTTGTAGAAGAAAAAAAGTTCGTTGTGATGGCGTTCAACCTGGCTCTGATCCTCCTTCTTGTACAAATTGCAAAGCATATGGATATGAATGGTAAATAAATAATAAATAAATAGGTAATAAACAAATAAATCAAAATAACAAATAAATTTAATCTATTTTTTTTTATTTGTTGTTAGTTCTTTTATTGATGCTCCTAAAAAAAGGGGTCCTCCTAAAGGTTATATTGAAGCATTAGAAACTAGGTTACAAAGAATGGAATCTGTTCTAAGCAATTTAATTCAATCAGGTGAATTACCTGAGAGCTCAATTAATTCAAATTTAGAATGGATTAATGTTAATGAAAGTAATTTCAAATCTCAAGATTCATCATTGTCATCATCATCATCAAACAACAAAAACACTCTAAGAAAACCTTTATCTTTTGATTCATCTGTCTCTTATAATTTAAAAAAATCCTATTCCTCCTATTCTAACAATCTCGTCTCAAATGATGACGACGATGATAATGATAAACATAGTATCAAATATAGATCAACCAACAACCAACCTAGTGATTCTGAAGAAAGTTACTCTAGTGATAGTAATGAATGTGGTAATTCTCATTATGATTTGAATGATAGTATGGGTCAATTGGCAATCGACGAGAGTGGTCACACAAGATATCTTGGTAGCAGTTCTGGAATTTTCTTATTAAAATTCACAAAAAAAGTTGCTCACGGTCAAATGATCAGTATTCCAAGTAATTCTATAAAATCAAAACGTAACGACAAAAATTTAGTCATAGAATTGCCTCCAAAAGAGTTATGTGATGCTCTTTTAAACATATATTGGAATAAATTACATCCTTACGTGCCTTTTATTGACAAGTCAGAAGTGATGGAAAAATATAACAATTTGGAAACAAATTTTCCTTCTGTCATTCTACTTTATTCTATTTTTGCTTTAGCTTCAAAATATATTGACGATACTTCCGTACGTTCAAATCCTGATGATCCAATCACTGCCGGTGTTCCATTTTATGAACGTGCAAAAGAAATAATCAAAGATGAATTTGAGACTGCTACTATAACTACTGTACAAGCTCTTTTGTTATTGTCGATATTTTACCAAGGCGATAAAGGTTCTACTCCTTGGATTTATATTGGTTTGGCTATACGTTTAGCTCAAGACATGGGTTTACATCGTGATTCTTCAAAGTGGAATCTTGACGAGAGGCAAATCGAATTAAGAAAACGTATTTGGTGGGTCTGCGTTTTGTTAGATAGATTCATCAGTACTGCTTTAGGTAGACCGTTTGCCATAAATGATTCCGATTACGATATACAATTACCTATTCAAGATAAATTGCCCGAAGATCCGGAAGGCTCTGTTGAAAGTTTGATCCAAATGATCAAGTTAAGCCTGATATTTGGACAAGTTCTTTCTCACGTTTACGGCATTAAACATAAGCACAGTTCTCATAAAAATAATGATTCGGTATTAGCCTCTTTAGATGGAGAATTGAATGAATGGCGTGATAATTTACCTAAAGCCTATCAGTGTGATTCAACTACATTACGTTTTGGTGATTTGACAAACAGTAGAAGAACTTTTCTGCATTTATTATATTATACAATTCAAATATTATTACATAGACCTCATATACGTGGTCCAAAATCAAAAGCTCCTCCATCTGCCATTCCATCATTAACCATTTGTACAATGGCCGCGAATAACATTACTCATATTTTATATAGAACAATGAAAGATGGTGGTTTGGGGGTCACATGGCAATTCAACATATATCCATTTTTTACTGCTGTTTCAACACACATAATCAATGCATTAAGTGGTGATGATAGATTTAGAGAAGTTGCAAAACAAGGTCTAAGAATGTCATTAAAATGCTTAGAAGATATAAAAAGTTCTTGGTATGCCGGTAACAAGTGCATATCATTGATTAATGATGTTATAAGAGTAAAAAACATTAATCTAGATGGAATTAATGGTTTAAACGATGTTGTGATAAATAAAAATAAAAATAATGGTGATGATCTTGGTGAATATTGTAATAGTTTAAATAATGATAACAATAATAATTGTGATGACTCAATGAATATATCAAAACCACGTGTCACTTTTGCACCATCATTATCATCATCAAAATCCTCCTCGCCACCATCATCTCAAAATAATTTATCATCACCTACATCAATTCAGGATTATAATACTGCAATGATACAACAACATATGATCAATCATTTAGTTTTAAGTAATCAAATAATCACTAATAATAATAATCAAAATACTAGTCCCAACAACATTAATTCTCATCATTCTACTACTAATACTAATGCTAATTTTGATTCTAATGTAAATAATCTTAACAATAATTCATCCACTTCATCTCCTGAGTCAAACTCGTCAAACTCATCAACTTCATTATCTTATAATGAATATCTATTATCAGATCCGTTATTTCCCACAAACGCTGATGCATTTGCTCCTGATGTTTCATCATTTTTATTTGATGATGTTGAAGATCATATGGGAAATAATAATCCTATACTACCACCAGCAATTGATTGGAGAAATTGGTCTGATTGGGCTGAATATCTGATAAGAATACAAGCTATAAGAACTGCGAGCTCTCCAGGAGGTCCTATTGTTCCAGCATCATCACCACTGCCGCCATCATCAGCAGCATCAACAACTACATCATCATCAACAACAATAACGACACCGCCAAATCTTCAATCTAATATCACCACACCAACCACTACAACAACAGCAAATACAAACCATCGTTATCAACATCAACTACAACTAAATCATCAATTAAATCAATTAAATCATCATGGAAACATAAATATTCATAATACAGATTTAATTGGTTAATTAAATTCTTACCAAGACTAATAATAATTATGATACAGACGATATAATCTTGGAAAACTTTTTAATTAGTATATATATTATTGTATGTTTCTAATATATATTTTATATGTAATGTATATAATAAAATCTTAATTGAATTAGTTAATATTGATACGATGTTTAATAGAAAAATTTTTTTTTATATTTGATTTGTTAAATATAAAATAATTAAAATAAAAATTATCAAGAAATAAACAACATTTCTATCAGCAAAAACGAATTATTTTTATTATTTTATTAAAAAAAAAAATAACGAATAGAATTAAAAAAAAAATAAGTGATAAATTTTTTTTTTTCAAATTATAAAAATAAAAAAAAAATTTGTAATTTTACTACTACAACCAATAATAATATTATAAAGTTAACGTTAACGATTACCTGAAATAACAATTATTGTTGAGAAAGATGTGACTGCAATTGATAATCTGCCATTGCCTATTTAAATAATATTATCAAATGAATGAATGAATAATAGCAATTCTTTGATTTTTCTTTAATAAGTATTATTTAAAAGACACAGTACCACAGAATTTACCATGGGATTTAAATCATGATGTTCTGATGGTTCAATATGAGCAGCAACAGTAATATAAAATGACTTTTCAAGTTTATATACAGTATCGCCATGATAATAATTGGCAACTGCAGTGATTTCGCAACTTTGAGAATTCATATCGGGTGTGCCAGTAAGAACATTGTTTTCCCATCTAAGCCAATTAGGTAACCAAGGTGAATGAAAAACAGCTTTAATTGCTATACATTGTGTGTGTGTGTGTGTGTGTGTGTGTGTGTGTGTGTGTGTGTGTGTGTGTGTGTGTATATTATGGTTAGTTTTATCAATCAATCAACCAATCTATTACTATTTTATTTTAATCATTATTATTTTAATTAAAAAATAAATCGCATACATTTCACATTAACTTGTGGGTCCCAAACTCGTGGTGCATAGGTATACTCAGTTCCAACATAGGCGATTTTATTAGGTATACCTGCAATTTTGCGGGTAAATTCACGGAACACCCAACCGCCAGTGGGGGTTTTTTTGGCCTCAATATTCCAAACATGATTTCCCTTAGATTTAGCTTTCTTTCCATCCTCATTAAAACGGGAAATATATCTAATAGTAGCAACGATAATAAGGTATTAATAAGAATTATTATTATTATTATTTTAAGAATAGCGGAAATACCGTTGAGTCCATAAGTAATTTTTTACTTTTCTTAATGGTAAAATTTCTTCCGTGTATCCATTGCGGATCAATTCATCATGGTAAGCATTTGTAAATGCTTGAATTCTGAATTTGAATGGTCGAAAATCTGGTGACTCATCCAACTTTTGCATTTTCTTTGCCATTAAAGTTTGGTGACTAAATAATAATGATAATAATAAATAAAATAAATAAATAATAATCATCATAATAAAAGTAAATAGATATATGTATATAAGAATTTACATTGGTTCTCCTTTGGAATCTCTGGCATCCACTGGATAATTAATTATTATTATGTCATCAAAATAAACAACGAATCGAAAAAAAGGTATGTTCAATATATATAATATATTCATAATTTTCATAATTACAATTTGAGCAAATATTTTGTAAAAATGTGACAAAGATCTCGTCTAAGCTTTTTATTAAATTTGGATCCAATTGGGCATGTGAATGCGTTCTAGGAGTATTTTGAAGCGGAACACCAGATTGTGTGTAAATGGATGATTGTTGCTAAAAAAAAATTTATTGTTTTAAATATGGAAATTTCGAAAACAGTAGAACAATAGAATGCACATATAAACAACACATACATTTACAGAATATACTTCACTGGTGATCGTAGGGGTATCCTCAACATTAGTTTTTATGGATTTTCGTGAAGTTTCATATTTAGATGATGAATCTCTCTTATAAAATTTATTCAATTATTAATTAATAGGAAAATCATTGAGCTAAATCGCTAGTCAATCAAAAAATATATATCATATTTGCTAAACCTTAGTAGTAGATTTTGGCTCTGAAATATTTGGCGTAAGTGATGATGGTGATGAGGAGGAGGATTGTTGCGGTGTAACATGTTGTTGCTATTTTGTATTAAATCAATAATAATAATAATTAAATATAATTATAAGAAAAATCTTTTTCTCAAAAAAGAACTTTTTTTACCAAAGCAGCAACACTCGATTTAAAATCTTTTAAAACAGTAATAGTTTTTGAAATAAGTTCAAGTCTATCAAAAGCTTCAGCATCTATACCACGTTCAAACTGATCTTGTGCTTCGCGAGCATTCATCACAATGCTTTTTTTTAAAAAAAAATTTAATTCAAAAAGATTTTGTCACATCAGAAATTATCTTTAATAATATGAATTTTGAAGTACTAAATCCATAAACTTTATTGGTAAGTAAAATCCATTAAACTGTGTGATATTATAGACATCCAAGATGATCGTTTTGTGGCCATCAACATAAAGTACTTTCTTTACTATCAAAGATAAGTTATTAAGAAATAAATTTTTTCGTACCTCTCAAAAAGTTGGATTAAATCCATTTTCATCTCTCTATAGTGGGGTTCGTTCTTTAGGGGTGGGGTACAGTTTTATTTTTATTTTTTTATTTTTTAAAAAAAAAACAAAACAAGGCCTCTTGAATGAGGGGGATCGAGAAAAAAAATCCTCAATGAAAAAAATTTTTTGGATGCAACATTGGGACGTTGCAATCTTATTGGCTATCTCGTACAATCATGTGACCGTGGTTATATTTTGTGCCAATATAATATTGTCTTCTCAATTTTATGGTTTGTACAACATAATTATTATCACACTTGCCATATTAAAGCAGGTAATTGAATAGGGTTGAATTAAGTTCTGGCATAAAAAGAAAGAGAAAAAAATGTTGTATAAAAATACTACCATATATGCGTGAATTAATTAATATCATAAATGACTATTATAGGAAAATAAATAAATATATTTTAATTTTTATGTGAGATACTGTATGAAGAATTTATTTGGATAATTTTACCAGGTAGTTTTATTATTTAAATAATAATAATAATAACAAAGAATAGTAAACTAATAAATTAAAATAGGTGAGAAAATTGTAAGTACTGTGGGGTAAGAAATTAATTGATTAATTATATTACTTTTATTACTTTTGTTTCTAATAAACAAATCGCGTATTTTTTTCTTTAATTTTACGAAATCTGTTAATTTTTATTCATTTACTTGTCGCGTGCAAATCTTTTTTGTCTTTTGTCATCATTGTTATTGAATTATTGTTATTGAATCATTGTCCTCATTGTTTATTTATATCAATATTAATAGATGTAACATCAGCTGACACACACACGCGTCAATTTACATGATTATCGTGCTAAAATTTTTACGATCTAATTTGAAAGTTTAAAAATAAAGTATATATTACGTATCCATTATTAAATATATTATACTGCATATTATAATTTATTTTTAATTATTTCATTCCGTTATTTGTAATTCATCCATCCATTTATTCACAAAAACAACAATAATAGTAATAAAAAAATTTTTCTTGCAGCTCAGATTGGTCACTTGGTATAATTTTCAATGCATGTTCCTTATGATAATAATTATTATTACAATAATTATAAAACGAGTTATGCTTAATCTTCAATATCATCATATCAATTATCATCAACATTATCAATATGATCAATTTCTAAATCCAGTAAATTCATAAATTCAAATTATAACAAAAAACATTTAAGATAACAATACTAATACATATATATAATATTATAATATTATATTCAATATTATAAAATAAATATAAATAAGTCGTCGTTTAAATGTCATTGTTTCTCACTCTCACACAAAAAATATCACCATTTTCTTCTCACTCACTCACGCTCGCTCACCCGTTCTCTGTGTGTGTGTGTAAACATAAATAATCAAGAGGAGAGAAAGACGCTAAGGAATAAACAAGAATCCGTTCTTCAAAGAACGTATAAAAACAAAACTTTCTAAAAAATAATAATTATCCTTATCAATTGTCATTTCTTTAAATCTCACGAAACTAAAAAAATCAATCGGTTTTTAACTATTACTAGAAAATTTATTTACGCCTTATTCTTTTTTTTTCTTTGGTTTAAAATCACGTTATTAATAATTGATTATTCGTAAAAATAAATAGTTAATTAATTAAAAATGGATCTTGACTGGTGTTTAACATGTGAAAAGAAAACTCAGGTAATTGTCAATTGAATAATAAATAATAATAATAATTTAATATAAATTATTTAATATTAATATAATAAATAATTAGGGTCCACTATATTGTAGTGAAGAATGTCGTTTTAAAGATCATCTTTTAGCTTATAGTTTTCTCACTCCACCAGATTCACCAACATTGTCAACATCAAATTCATCGATGTCATCAGATTCTTCCTCAATCAATGATAACCATCATGATAATGATACTATTATAAATAATTTAATTTATTATTATTCATTTTATAGAAAAAATAATTTTAAAAATCAATTATTATTATTAAATCAACAACAACATTACAATAATAATTTTCAACAAAAAAAATCGTTCAATAATTTATCAATGAATTTATTTAATAACGAAAACATCAATAATAACAACTCAAAAAATAAATAGAATTTATGATGTTATTATTACTATTATGATGATGATGATGAAATTAACACGTAACAATTATGATTTATAATTACAAAAAAATTTTCACATGATTTTGTAGTATAAAACCCCAGCTTCAAATTTAATTTTATATGTATGTGTATATATGTTTTTTATGTATAAAACCTTTGTAAAAAATCATTTTAAGTCATCCATTTATATAAATTATAATTTATTTATGCCTTTTAAAAACCTATAATAAAAAGTATGGCAGGATTTCTAAAATTCATCACATGATCTTTATTCATATTAACCAAATTTGTAAAAGATTTCAATTGACAAGGATTTTGGAATAAAGAACCTTGTCCATTATATTCCATATTAATATTCATTAGTAAAAAAGTCAAATTATAATTTCAGTACGCGGTGCAAAAAAAAATTTTGCAGATCATAATCATGTGATCAATTCATAATGTGACACAAATTTTTTATTTATCAGTCGCAGGACATTGCGGATCTACAGGGGGTCAAGTGTCACTCACTAATAAAATTTTTTTGATCAACACGGAATTTTATATGAAAAAATGAAGAAAAAAATCACGCTTTCATACACAAACT